AAATGTGTTTTTTTTTTTGTCCTTAAAAACCTTTAAAAAAAAAAAAAAAAAAAAAAAAAAAAACATAAACGAGAGACTCGTGTTTCCCTGGTTTTCAATGTGTAATGGTGTTTTTTTATTAACGGTAAACTACCAGGTAATATTGTTGTGGTTTTTTTTAAGCTGAACTTTAAACCAAAACAATAAATGAACTGGTGTGTGCATAGCCTGTCTACTTTAAATTTATTTCACTTTTCCTCTGCTTTGTTATTTCTTTCTCTTTTCTCTCATGAAAACATTAGAGGATACACACTGCACACCGCTGCCATGGCCCCACAGTCCCCGTATTGCATATGGCTCCTATTAAAGTCATGTTTCAGCAGACATCTCCGTTTCACTCCTATTCCCCACTGAGACCGGAGCAGTGTAGCTCCAGGTTTGGAAGAGTTTAGATTCAGGATCTCGCTGGGACTCTGGAAACCACAATTCACGGGGAGCTCATTCTTAGCAAACCCCCCTCAAAGGAAGAAAAATGTCTCCATATGTCACAATTAGGATTTCTTGGGTTGGAAGTGATCTTAAAGTCTCAAGATCATTTAATATGAGACACTAATATTTTCCTTCACATGTTTTCTGCGAAAGAAATGTCTGACCTTGTTTAATTTGAATCTGAAAGAGGGTTAAATTCAGTGCGGCACAAATCATGTTTAGAACTATGAATACTTATTGTGAATTAGTAACTTTTCATAATTCACGGATGTGACTAATTAATGTGTAATTCATGTGACTGTCTACAGGGGACGTGTATATCCAACCAACCCAAGACACGAGGAACCCAGTCATCTTTGGAGTCTTCTCAGTTTCAGGGTGAGTAATGGCTTTTTTTAACTCTAATTTCAGTGTGAATGTTCGGTGTGTTTTAATGTCTGTCAGCAGCACGTGCTCATTTGCACTCAGCCGTAAGGTGTCTGCTCTTTGTAATGTTATGAGTCTGTATTGGTTTGTAAGAATCCGCCTACAAGCAGGAGACAGAAAAGTGACTGTTCAGCCCAGAGGGAGACGCCGTCCGCTGAGTCTTTTATAGAGACAGTCAGGTTTGATAGCAGGTTGTCAGTCACTGAAGGTGGACAGTGTTGTTGGGTTTTATAGATTATAGACCCAGACATTAACTACAGGATTTCCAAGAGGCTGCAAACATTTCTAAATTCAGTCAGCACGTTGGATAACAACGGTTGAAAGCTCAAAAGGATAAAAAATTAAGCATTGTTGTTTCTTGTTGTCTTTTGAAAGTCTTACTCTCGATAACTCTCTTGCTGTCTCAAGAATTCAAACATTTTGTCATTTTTTAAAAATTACAATTTCCTTTTAATTCTCTTTGAACATCTCTTTGCTCCCTCCGATTTATTTTTTATCGCCTGAACTGACGACAAAAATTACCAATTTGGAGTTTTCTGTCTTCAGTGACAGCCTCCTCACTAACTGTTTAAAGACCTAATAGTGCTAACTATGATCCATTCACTGACTGTTTTCCAGATTTTTCAGTTTTTGACTGATAAAACAAAGACTTGTCCAATTTCAGTCAGTTGCTGGCTTCCCAGTGCATCTCTCGTTTTCTGCTGACCTGACATATTGAATGTGTCATTTATGTCAGTATTGTTTATGTGATATGTAACAGTGAAGACTTAATGCTTCTATCCACTTATTGTTTATCTATATAGGCAAAATGGCATAATGTGTAATCCTACATAATGGTATAATGTGTGTGTAAACCTTTCAGGGATTAGTCATAGTCAGGTCAAAACTAAGTTTCTCCTTAATTGTTCCAGAAGGTTTTTCTAATGTAGATAAGATACTGACTACTCATTCATTACCTCACTTCCAAAAATACACACGAACTCTTTGAGATTTGTAAACTGAGATTCTGTCAGCGCACAGGTCAAGAAAGGTGTTCGCAAAGTCATAATAAATGCATTTTGATTAATGTGTTGGAGAAAGAAATACTGTTATTGTTGCAATCGCCATTATAGCCATTGAGAGCATTTAAGCCCAGCTGATAGAAGCACATGTGGTGCTAATGATAGGGGCTCATGACACAAGCTGCAAACATACCACACTGCTCTGCAGCAGTGAGAGCCTGTATTCTGGCGATTCTTTGGGATACGTGGGTGTTTGTATGTCAGTATGTCAGACAACTTGTCTCTGCTTGAGTCAGTCTGAGTGGTTCTGCATCGTGATGTTTCAGCAAGTTCCTGCAAACAGAGGCAGACTGAATATGTGGAAGGAAGTCAGACTGAGAAGCCACAGAGATACCTTGCAGTAATTACCTCGGGGTGTGAGTTAATCTGCATCCTGTCTTGATAATATCTTTGCAATAACTTGTGCTAATCTGTCCTCCTGCAGGTCTGTGTTCAAAGGCTCGGCGGTGTGCGTCTACTCCATGGCCGACATCCGTATGGTCTTCAACGGGCCGTTTGCCCACAAAGAAGGGCCCAACTACCAGTGGGTGGCGTACACTGGGAAAATTCCCTACCCTCGACCTGGCACTGTGAGTTCAAAAATAAAGAAAATCAATGTCCATGATATAAACCGCACCCATGGGGAAATAAAGCAAATGTCAGAGGAGCAGATTTGACATTAAAATGTTCCATCTGTCAATAGTGTCCTGGAGGTACTTTCACTCCCAACATGAAATCCACAAAGGATTACCCAGACGAGGTTATCAACTTCATGAGAAACCACCCCACCATGTACAACGCCATTTACCCGGTGCACAAGCGCCCCCTGGTGGTCAGAACCAACGTGGACTACGAGTTCACCACAATTGCTGTCGACCAAGTGAGAGCGGCTGATGGGAGCTATGAGGTGCTCTTCCTGGGAACAGGTCAGCGCTGTGAGACCAGAACATTTAAAAGTTACTGTAAAGATGCATAGTTGAATGGAGCTTTGTGTTTATCATAAATGTTTCCAGTAAAGCTGTTTTCAGTTGAAGGTTGTATAATATGAATTGATATTTTTTTGGTGGTTCAGATCGTGGGACGGTGCAGAAAGTCATCGTGTTGCCAAGAGATGACTTACAAACAGAGGAGCTGGTTCTGGAGGAGGTGGAGGTGTTCAAGGTCGGTCACAATAAAACTGGTCCAAAAACTCCTTTTTTATTTGTCTTACTTTATACAAAGGTATTGGTCAGGCTTTTCCTGACCAATTTTGATTTCTAGTTTTCTTTGACATCTGACTGACTAATTGAGACTTTGACCACTCGACTTTTATTCAAAGGGCTACTAAATGGGGAATAAAGTGCTGCAGATTAAACAGTGTGCTATTTAAAAAAAATATATATATATACAATATTATTATTTTGCAAATCTGTCCGTTAGTCTACAGACTAACGGACAGATTTGCAAAATAATAATATTGATAATAATAATAATTATAATAATAATATTGATTATAGATAATCTCTCTTATTCTTTTCTTTTTCTATTTATAATTTATTTAGGTTTGGCTAGAGATTTTCTACTATTTTGAGGCAATTTCTTCTATTATATGCTTTGACATGTTTGTCAACTTTTTTCTGTTTTTTCTTACTTTGTGTTGATGTAAAAATTCCATCTGCCACTTCAGGTTCCCACCCCAATCACCACCATGAAGATTTCATCTAAACGGGTAAGTTACCACTCGTTTTGCTTTTGCTGGGACAGCTTAATCTGAGCCAAAGTATTTTTATTCATCCAATTAACTTAGTGGGAGCTATCTATCAGATTTATTTCATTTCTGAAATTACTCTATTCTAAGCCATTAGAAATATGATTTATGAAATGAATTTTAAATGTCAAAAAAAGACAATTTGCTCGGGTATTTGCAACCATATAAAATGTGTTTCTAAAATGTTTTAAAACTCTCCAATACATACATTACAGAATTTATTTTTCATAGTAATTTAACGTTTAAATTTATTGGTTTAAATTAGGGACCCACGCATATAGATTGTTTGAAGCGCTCAAAGAATCTATGTTGTTGCCTTTACTTTTGTCTTTAAAAAAAAAACTAATCGAAACCTAATTAGGTTTCAATAATACTGAGTGCTGATGATGTTTGTGTCGTCATTGTTGCCTTTCTCATATTATTATTGGACTCAGCTCTTTTAATATTTTGTGGATCGGAAGCTGAAAAGTTTTGCAACCACTGATTAATTAAATCCAAACTACTACTGTTGCTACTTCTTACCAGTTCTGTGTGTGTGTGTNGGGACGTGTATATCCAACCAACCCAAGACACGAGGAACCCAGTCATCTTTGGAGTCTTCTCAGTTTCAGGGTGAGTAATGGCTTTTTTTAACTCTAATTTCAGTGTGAATGTTCGGTGTGTTTTAATGTCTGTCAGCAGCACGTGCTCATTTGCACTCAGCCGTAAGGTGTCTGCTCTTTGTAATGTTATGAGTCTGTATTGGTTTGTAAGAATCCGCCTACAAGCAGGAGACAGAAAAGTGACTGTTCAGCCCAGAGGGAGACGCCGTCCGCTGAGTCTTTTATAGAGACAGTCAGGTTTGATAGCAGGTTGTCAGTCACTGAAGGTGGACAGTGTTGTTGGGTTTTATAGATTATAGACCCAGACATTAACTACAGGATTTCCAAGAGGCTGCAAACATTTCTAAATTCAGTCAGCACGTTGGATAACAACGGTTGAAAGCTCAAAAGGATAAAAAATTAAGCATTGTTGTTTCTTGTTGTCTTTTGAAAGTCTTACTCTCGATAACTCTCTTGCTGTCTCAAGAATTCAAACATTTTGTCATTTTTTAAAAATTACAATTTCCTTTTAATTCTCTTTGAACATCTCTTTGCTCCCTCCGATTTATTTTTTATCGCCTGAACTGACGACAAAAATTACCAATTTGGAGTTTTCTGTCTTCAGTGACAGCCTCCTCACTAACTGTTTAAAGACCTAATAGTGCTAACTATGATCCATTCACTGACTGTTTTCCAGATTTTTCAGTTTTTGACTGATAAAACAAAGACTTGTCCAATTTCAGTCAGTTGCTGGCTTCCCAGTGCATCTCTCGTTTTCTGCTGACCTGACATATTGAATGTGTCATTTATGTCAGTATTGTTTATGTGATATGTAACAGTGAAGACTTAATGCTTCTATCCACTTATTGTTTATCTATATAGGCAAAATGGCATAATGTGTAATCCTACATAATGGTATAATGTGTGTGTAAACCTTTCAGGGATTAGTCATAGTCAGGTCAAAACTAAGTTTCTCCTTAATTGTTCCAGAAGGTTTTTCTAATGTAGATAAGATACTGACTACTCATTCATTACCTCACTTCCAAAAATACACACGAACTCTTTGAGATTTGTAAACTGAGATTCTGTCAGCGCACAGGTCAAGAAAGGTGTTCGCAAAGTCATAATAAATGCATTTTGATTAATGTGTTGGAGAAAGAAATACTGTTATTGTTGCAATCGCCATTATAGCCATTGAGAGCATTTAAGCCCAGCTGATAGAAGCACATGTGGTGCTAATGATAGGGGCTCATGACACAAGCTGCAAACATACCACACTGCTCTGCAGCAGTGAGAGCCTGTATTCTGGCGATTCTTTGGGATACGTGGGTGTTTGTATGTCAGTATGTCAGACAACTTGTCTCTGCTTGAGTCAGTCTGAGTGGTTCTGCATCGTGATGTTTCAGCAAGTTCCTGCAAACAGAGGCAGACTGAATATGTGGAAGGAAGTCAGACTGAGAAGCCACAGAGATACCTTGCAGTAATTACCTCGGGGTGTGAGTTAATCTGCATCCTGTCTTGATAATATCTTTGCAATAACTTGTGCTAATCTGTCCTCCTGCAGGTCTGTGTTCAAAGGCTCGGCGGTGTGCGTCTACTCCATGGCCGACATCCGTATGGTCTTCAACGGGCCGTTTGCCCACAAAGAAGGGCCCAACTACCAGTGGGTGGCGTACACTGGGAAAATTCCCTACCCTCGACCTGGCACTGTGAGTTCAAAAATAAAGAAAATCAATGTCCATGATATAAACCGCACCCATGGGGAAATAAAGCAAATGTCAGAGGAGCAGATTTGACATTAAAATGTTCCATCTGTCAATAGTGTCCTGGAGGTACTTTCACTCCCAACATGAAATCCACAAAGGATTACCCAGACGAGGTTATCAACTTCATGAGAAACCACCCCACCATGTACAACGCCATTTACCCGGTGCACAAGCGCCCCCTGGTGGTCAGAACCAACGTGGACTACGAGTTCACCACAATTGCTGTCGACCAAGTGAGAGCGGCTGATGGGAGCTATGAGGTGCTCTTCCTGGGAACAGGTCAGCGCTGTGAGACCAGAACATTTAAAAGTTACTGTAAAGATGCATAGTTGAATGGAGCTTTGTGTTTATCATAAATGTTTCCAGTAAAGCTGTTTTCAGTTGAAGGTTGTATAATATGAATTGATATTTTTTTGGTGGTTCAGATCGTGGGACGGTGCAGAAAGTCATCGTGTTGCCAAGAGATGACTTACAAACAGAGGAGCTGGTTCTGGAGGAGGTGGAGGTGTTCAAGGTCGGTCACAATAAAACTGGTCCAAAAACTCCTTTTTTATTTGTCTTACTTTATACAAAGGTATTGGTCAGGCTTTTCCTGACCAATTTTGATTTCTAGTTTTCTTTGACATCTGACTGACTAATTGAGACTTTGACCACTCGACTTTTATTCAAAGGGCTACTAAATGGGGAATAAAGTGCTGCAGATTAAACAGTGTGCTATTTAAAAAAAATATATATATATACAATATTATTATTTTGCAAATCTGTCCGTTAGTCTACAGACTAACGGACAGATTTGCAAAATAATAATATTGATAATAATAATAATTATAATAATAATATTGATTATAGATAATCTCTCTTATTCTTTTCTTTTTCTATTTATAATTTATTTAGGTTTGGCTAGAGATTTTCTACTATTTTGAGGCAATTTCTTCTATTATATGCTTTGACATGTTTGTCAACTTTTTTCTGTTTTTTCTTACTTTGTGTTGATGTAAAAATTCCATCTGCCACTTCAGGTTCCCACCCCAATCACCACCATGAAGATTTCATCTAAACGGGTAAGTTACCACTCGTTTTGCTTTTGCTGGGACAGCTTAATCTGAGCCAAAGTATTTTTATTCATCCAATTAACTTAGTGGGAGCTATCTATCAGATTTATTTCATTTCTGAAATTACTCTATTCTAAGCCATTAGAAATATGATTTATGAAATGAATTTTAAATGTCAAAAAAAGACAATTTGCTCGGGTATTTGCAACCATATAAAATGTGTTTCTAAAATGTTTTAAAACTCTCCAATACATACATTACAGAATTTATTTTTCATAGTAATTTAACGTTTAAATTTATTGGTTTAAATTAGGGACCCACGCATATAGATTGTTTGAAGCGCTCAAAGAATCTATGTTGTTGCCTTTACTTTTGTCTTTAAAAAAAAAACTAATCGAAACCTAATTAGGTTTCAATAATACTGAGTGCTGATGATGTTTGTGTCGTCATTGTTGCCTTTCTCATATTATTATTGGACTCAGCTCTTTTAATATTTTGTGGATCGGAAGCTGAAAAGTTTTGCAACCACTGATTAATTAAATCCAAACTACTACTGTTGCTACTTCTTACCAGTTCTGTGTGTGTGTTTTTTTTATTTTTTTTTAATAGCAACAACTATATGTGGGGTCTGTCCTGGGTGTGACCCACCTGGCTCTGCACCGCTGCGACGTGTACGGCGAGGCCTGCGCTGACTGCTGCCTGGCCCGGGACCCGTACTGCGCCTGGGACGGCAAGTCCTGCTCCAGATACTCTGCCTCGCAGAAAAGGTGAGACCGAGACGGCCTGGACGTTTACAACCTCAGGCTCACATTATCGCTGCGGATTATTGTAGCACAGGATATTTAAGAACCGTGCTGATGCTAGGCTTTATTTTCGGCTGTTGATTCGATCTCCCAGACGAAGCCGTCGACAGGACGTAAAGTATGGAAACCCGATCCGCCAGTGCAGAGGTTACAACTCGAATGGTGAGTTTCTCCGTGGTACAAGATGGATTTGTGATGCAGTTTTCAGTACAAAAGCATTAAGCAACGTCTTTCGCATGTTTCACAGCAAATAAGAATACGCTGGAGACGGTTCAGTACGGAGTGGAGGGAAGCACAACATTCTTGGAGTGCCAGGCTCGTTCTCCTCACGTCTCTCTGAAGTGGCACCTGCAGAAGGAAAACAGCGACAGGAGAAAAGAGGTGATTAATTTTATTTCTTGTACAACAGATGTTGACTGATGTCATATAAAAGTAGTAAATGGATCTTTTACACTTTAGCTGCTAATTGTCTTATTTCAGCACTAGTTCAAATTAATTGAACTATCAGTCTTTATGACAGGATGAGGATAAGGTATGAAAACTGGCAACAGATTTGTGATTCAGAATTTTTTTTCTAGGTTTATTTACTTTTTGGCCTACATGTAAATTGCAACGTGAGATGGAAAACGAGCACTCCATATGAAAAACCACCCCCAGTGTAAAACATGGCGGTGGCAGCATCAGGCTGCAGGAACAGACGAGCTGATCGGAGTTGACTGGAGCTAAAAACAATCCTGGAAGAAAACCTACTAAAGGCTAAAAAAGCCTGGGGACTGAGGCAATGGGTCACAAAAACCAAAGCATACAGTCAGAGTTGTAACAGTAACAGTTGGGTGTAAATTGATGTTCACATATGTTTTTTTTTTTTTCCAGTCTGAATGAGCTAGAGCTATTTTCCAAAGATGGGCAAATTATTAAAAAATGTTATAGATGTGCAAAGATGTGTAAAATCCTAATAAAATACATTTATATTCTGGTTTGCTTTTGGAAAGCGTTGTATTCTTTTACCTTTTTAACTGATAATTAAATATTCTGTGCTACTTTGTCCGTGTCTTTCCTTAAGCTGTAAAACTTCCCTCCCTGTGCACTCCAGATTCGCTCAGAGGGTCGCATCCTGAAAACCGATCAGGGCCTCCTGATCCGCTCGCTGCAGTCCTCCGACGGCGGCATCTACCACTGCACGTCCACTGAGAAGAACTTCAAGCACACCCTGGTGAAGCTGCAGCTAGTCGTCCTCTCCAGTCGCACGGTCAACAACGTCCTTGTGGATACGGGCAACCCAGCCCTCCCCCAAATTCAGTCCAGCGCATGGACCCCGAGCGTTGGGCAGTACAAGGACCTGCTGACCATCCTCAGCCAGCCGGAGATGGGGCTGATCAACCAGTACTGCAAGGACTACTGGCAGCACGGGGACGACGGCCTCGGGGACGGCAAAGCTAAAAGCCTGAAGGAGCTGAAGGAGCAGAAGAAGCCTCGCAACCGCCGGCATCACGACGACCAGACGAATCCAGCTGAGACATGAAGAGTTTGGGTTTTCAGCCTGTCGTGTTCAAACAGCACCATTTGTCTACCTTCTAGTTTCTCCTCACAACCCTCCATTTAAGGGAAATGACTCCATTTAACAGACCCTGCAACAGAAAGCATCATTTGTATGTGACTGTTGGAAGAACAAACACAATATTTATTGTAGGTTGTACAAAGTAATTCTTTATACCTATCTAGAAAACATGTTTTTTGTGAATAGATCTGTGCAAATATTGTTATATTATTATTATTGTTATTATAATTATTAGTGTTATTGTTTATGACATTGTGTTATTATGTTGGGAATATCTTTGTTTGGTGTTTTTCTTTTTTCTTTTCTTTTTTTTTAAATAGCAACTATTACTCTGGACTTTAACGGTGTCCAGACGAGGACTGGAATGGATAAGCTTCCCATTTCTCTGCAATTATGTCTGAACAATTGACTGCTGGCAGTATCTAAATCCAGAATTACACCAGAAAAGCCTGGCATTTGTTAGGTAATCTCACCTGGACAGTCATTGCAAAGGTGGACACTATTGTACTGTAAATAAAACGCCATTGACGATGGTAGGAATGCCGACAAGCTGCAGCTGCAACAGCACATCACAAACTCCCAAGAACGTGAATTTTAAGCTCTTTCACAGAAGGTCGACGGACCTAAGGTGACAATTTCAAACTGCACCGTTCATATTCTTCCATGATTAGTTGCTGCCAAGTGTTTTTTGTTTGTATGTAAGCATCACATCTCAGTGTTGTGTTCTCGGCATCTTGTTATAAGCTGTTTATCTTTGGAGGAAGGGTTCTTTTAACGAAACAGAAGTGGAAAACAGAACATTGCCTTCTCTTCTCTCTCTGTGGAGATGAGTTATTCTAGCAGGCAGCTAAATGTGAGTCTGTGATTAAAAAAATATATATCTATATATATATTAGAGAAAGCACCTTTTGTTGCCAGATTGGTGATTTTTTTTTTAAATAAATCTTAGAAAAAGTTTGTTTCTAAACGTATTAAACACCCTATAAACTACAATGCTGTGGAAAAAGTATTTGCTCACTTTGTGATATTTTGTCACTTAGAGATTTCTGATCGTCAATCAGTTTTCAATATCAGTTACAAATCTGCCGAGTAAATACAGCATGCACTTTTCATTTATGGATTACTTTAGATAAAGTGAAGGAAAAATCTATCTAAACTCACCTGGCCTTTGGTGAATATAATCAGTCTTTCACATCTGTGTGGAGAAGATTCAGACATTTTTTGTTTGAATTCAGCCACATTGTCACATCATCTTTATCAGATTTATGTCCAGATTTGACAAATAAACTTCCTAATTTTTGAGTCTTTGAGAGATGAAGTTGTTGGTGTCTATTGGACCATTGTTCAGTTGTACGACTCGAGTGCTTGAGCTCAAGTTTTTAAAGGTTTTCTCCTAGTGAGTAAAACTTTTTATTTCATCAATTATAGAAAAGTTCTTGATTAGCAACACACTGAAGTGAAGCTCATGGTGCTTGTTTTGGTACCTCCTGGATGACTGATTGATTAGGTCAGCCTCTCATCCATGTTTTCCCCATGTATGGATAGTGGCTTTGTATTTGGTTCATTGGAGTCCAAAAGACTTCAGAATGGCTTTATAACTCTTTCCAAACTGATAGGAAACAAAGTTATTGACATTTGTTTGTCCTTGAATATCTTTAGCTCAGGGCTGGATGTTTTTTTTTTTTTGTTTTGTTTTGTTTTATGTTCTGGGCTACTTCAAAACATTTAAACATGTTTTTTTTTTTTTTTTTTGTAATTTTTTGGCCCTGCATAACTTTCAGTAATCACAACCTGGATATTGCACTCACCTCTCCAAAATATGTTGATTACACTTTATTAAAGGGCATAGAGCAATGTTATTATTTTGTTGTTTTGAATAGTTTTTTCTCTTTATCAAATTAAATATCCATAAATCCACTGTCTATTCTCGCTTGTTGTTGCAATATCCCCATCAGTCATAGGGCAAAAGGCAAGGTTCACCCTGGACTGGTCATCATTACACCATTACAGAGCAACACACAGGACTAACGACATTTATGCCTAAAAGCAATTTAGAGAAACCTGTTTACCCAAGAGTCATGTTTTTGGACTTTAAGAGTACCTGGAGAGAACCTCCACTCGCATAGGGAGAACAGAAAGACTCCAGGCCAGGACCTAAACACAGTACCTTCTTGCTCCAAGGCAACAGCGCTACCAACCTCAACAAAACTGCTTAATGATCAGAAAAATGTAATACTTTTTCACAGCACTGTCGTTTTTGTTTTCTTTTCCATTCCTTCCATTTTTATGTAAATATTGGTGAAATTAATGTAATCAGTCTATACAAGTGTGCAGATTTATATTGCTATGATGACTGGTGCTGTACTTTATGTATCATCTGGTTACCAGAGAGCTCCTGCCGCTCTATTTGTCCTGGTACAGAGCCATCCTTTATTACTGGTGCCACAGACGTCACACCAACTATGGAAACGAACACCTTTACACAGTAAACATCATGATAACTTGCCAAACCTGAAGAAAAAAATCATACCACAGTCTTGAGACAGTGAATTTTAAATGTGCATGGCATGTACAGTGTATGTATGTAGTGTTTTGTCTAAACTGTTGCTGTGGATGTCTTTTTATTGTTGTGGGAGTTCGGATCCTTTTTGTTTTGGGAAATGCTGAAAGATCAGAAAGGCTGATTTCATATTTGAGTTCTCCTTGTCAGATATAAGAAGTAGAAGAAGAAAACAGGTTTTCATATATTTCTACTGTGGGAATCTGTTTTCTCTGTATGACAGCTCTGTGAGGTAATGTATAATAAGCACACTTTGTGGTAATGTAATGACTTGTAAAAACTACTATCTTTTCTTCCTCATCAATGTTGCTAACTAATAAATTAAAGCTCTATATTTTATAATAACAAGTGTTCTCCTTTGTTTAGTCTGCATGGTGACTTTAGAGCACTTCATTTTTAATATTTATTTTTCTGCATTAGCATAGCAATTAAAATATTTCCAATTATGTTAGCATAAAATAAGAAATAAGAATCAGTCAAACCCATTATAACATCAATCTAAAAGATAAATTCATGACGTTTATATTGAGTGATTTTTAACACATTTAAAAAAGAATCAGCAAACGTCTGTATATTTCTTAATATTAGGATTTATTTAGGATCAATCAAGACTAATTACAACTTTATTATGAATCAAATTATATGCATTTAATCATGATTACTTAACTGCATTTTGTGGACTTCCTGACTGCAAATATTTACATTAGTCCAATAACAAATGTATGGATCACGTGGAGGCCTGTACTACTTTTTCAGCGTCAAAACTAGACAGAATATTTTTAATTTCTGCAATATTCTAGAAGAGAAAGAAGGAATCCTTCAAACATGTTTAGTATGGGATTTAAGTGACATACCTTGGTTAAAAATAACACAAAGAGTATTTACTTTAAGAGTCAATTTGATGCCATCAGTTATCAATGGATTGACTCAGTAGTTTCTCTTTCAAAGACTCTGGTCCAACATTGACACTTTCTGTCTTGTCAGAATTTAAAATTTACAGTGGACAGGATTGTATCCAATCAAAATGGGGTTAGAAGTAAAAAAATTACCTCAAAAGAGAAGCAAATACGTTAACAATCAAACTGCATCTACACCCAGTTACAGATGTTCTATGTTTTGATCCTGTGTATGCCTTCTGATCCAGGCGCTAGAGATAACACAATAATAACACTATTCTTCGGTTCCTGAGCATGTAATGAAATATGATGCTGTGATCACGAACATACACTCATGCCGCATCTTCGTGCACGCAGAACTGAAAGTGTGAGTGGATTAGGATCCTTAACCAGCTTCAGATTTAGGTCAATGAGATATGTCTGGTGAAACTGCAAAGCTCTTTAAGCACTTCAGAACTCACCCTTCAGGCTATTGGATCCCATAAGGAATGTTTGGACCCATCTTTGCATTTGTGTGTGCATATGTCTCTGTGTTTAGACTACAGGTTGATGGTCTTGACATGCATTTCCTGATTTTGTGTTGGTTCTAACAGTCTCATCACATTCTCATCCCTCTTGCAGAAATAAAACCACAATGAGTTTACCATCAGATTTCATTTTTATTTTGGTCACATCAGATACTAAACTTAGTTTTGGTAGCAAGACATGAACCAAGTTATTTTAGTTTTACCGGCTTCTCTTCTGAAGGAGCCTAAGAAGAGCATGAGATAAGCACTTGAGCCGATGTTCATCTTCCGCTGAGCGCAGCAAAGTACCCTAAAGGTTAAAGCACTCCTACAGTGATGTATGTCTGCTTCCCTTCACACCTCTGCCCTGTAGCTGTCTTGTCCTTGTGCTCCATTGGCCACCACTGGTCAGGTGGGCTGAGGGAGCCCAAAATCCTTCCCTGTGATGGGAAAAAATACTCAAACAATCCCCAGCTGCCGGCAGTTGGCGCATCAGCTGCGTGCTTGAAGGCACCGGTCAGACAGTAGCAGGCGAGCAGCCAACCGGGACCTGCTTCCATTTTTCCTGACATTTGGCTTTTGAAACAGAGGGGCCCAAGCCGGGAAAAGTAGGATGGGGGCCGGAGCTAGCGCCGAGGACAAACACTCCAGGGAGCTGGAGAAGAGGCTGAAGGAGGATGCTGACAAGGACGCAAGGACCGTCAAGCTGCTGCTGCTAGGTACAGACACCTGTTGGACAAGTGATTTAGAAGCAATGGTTTCAATACATCATGATCTGGTCAGAGCCATTCCCACACCTTAGATGGTTTTAGTGTGCTGTTTTAGTTGAGCTGTAAAATTACCTTACTGTGACTTCCTAACTTGTTTTGGTTAAAAACTTTCCCTAAAACAATTCCTGCTTTGACTTTCACAAGCAATTTTAGTTCTTGTTTAGCAATCATAAAAGCAAATGATGTTGGTTTATGCATTGTTGCAAATAACACACCTAATTAATTTCCAGGGCTGATTTTTTTTTTTTACTCTTTAAAGTCTCTAACTGTGCATGAAAAGATGCAACATATCAAGTAAGAGCTTAATAAACTGTGTCACTGAATTGCTGAGACACTCAGATAATCACGCAAGGCAATCCCTGCTAATCCTGACACAACAGGTTTTTCCGCACAAAGGGCTTAACACTGAAGGACACTGACCCTGAATCAACAAACCAAAACAGATTTATAGCACCTTCATTTTACATCTTCTGAATTTAGACTGAATGAGAGAAACTGTCAGAGTTACAGTTTATTCTATAAGCTAATAAAATACAGAGCATACAGTCAAATGTAGTTGGGCTGCTTGAAGTAATTCAGAGTTGTAATATTAGTTGACAGTTGAAAGACTGCACCATCTGAAAATACTTTGTATACACATAAGAACCTGTTTCAGACATTGTTTCATGCACTGCTTCATCCTCTCCTTATGGTGATGCAGGTCAGGGGCCAGTAAAAAAGATTAGGGCTGAAGTAAGAAGCATTATGCCGCACTTGTTGGGAACATCTTTTGGAGGATATAGTGGAGGACCTGAGAAAAACAGATGTTATTCCAACACCTTCAAATCAAAGAAAATGTTGGGATATTCTGATAAAATAGGCGAAGATATCTTCTAAAATGATTTCTTGTTTTTCATAGGGGCTGGAGAATCAGGCAAGAGCACCATTGTCAAACAGATGAAGTAAGAACTTTCTATCTAAGCAGCATTTATTCCTTCTTGTCCGAAGCTATATTCAATAGTAATGCTACACTTTCTCCACAGAATTATCCACAAAGATGGTTATTCGCTTGAAGAATGCTTGGAGTTCATTGTCATCATCTACAGCAACACCCTGCAGTCCATCATGGCAATCGTGAAGGCCATGAACACACTCAACATTAACTACGGCCACCCCGATCAACAGGTGACACCACACGTCTATATAAATCTTAGGTCAAATGTTCCAAGTTAAACTTATTGATGTGACTGTCCACCTGGGTCCTTCCTGCAGGATGATGCTAGGAAACTGATGCATCTTGCAGACACCATTGAGGAGGGAACCATGCCCAAAGAATTGTCAGACATCATTCTGCGTCTGTGGAAAGACTCTGGCATCCAGGCCTGCTTCGACAGGGCTTCAGAGTATCAACTCAACGACTCAGCTGGATAGTAAGCAACAACACATTGAAACACTGCTCATGAAATCGTAAAAATAAGTCCACTGACAGAGTTTAATTTTCACACAGCTACCTCAATGACCTGGAGCGACTGGTCCAACCAGGCTATGTGCCCACTGAGCAGGATGTGCTGCGATCAAGAGTGAAAACCACTGGTATCATTGAGACCCAATTCTCCTTCAAAGATCTTAACTTCAGGTGAGTCTACGAATTATTGCTCATTAGTAGGAATTAGGATTGATCGGGCGATCACACAGCAAATTGCCTTTTGTTTTGATCCAGAATGTTTGATGTGGGTGGCCAGAGGTCAGAGAGGAAGAAGTGGATTCATTGTTTCGAAGGTGTCACCTGTATCATCTTCATTGCTGCTCTGAGCGCCTATGACATGGTGTTGGTGGAGGATGACGAAGTGGTATGACAGAGTTGACCATTGCATCTCATAATTTATGGTAAGAAGTAAAAATCTGGGTGACTTAAAAGTTTGTTTTTTTTTTTCCTTTCAGAACCGAATGCACGAGAGTCTCCACTTGTTCAACAGTATCTGCAACCACCGCTACTTCGCCACCACCTCCATTGTCCTCTTCCTGAACAAAAAGGATGTGTTCCTTGAGAAGATCAAGAAAGCCCATCTCAGCATGTGCTTCCCCGAGTACGATGGTGAGATTTTCATGAACTACTTAGATTCTTTTTTCAATGTATAAATGACAGCATCGTTGGCAAAACATGATCTAGCTATGTGAAGAATAGACTAGCTAGCTGCAAGTAAGTTTAGCTCTTCATTTTGTTTGTGGATGTTAAAGTGAAAAAACAACTCTTCCTCATTTCATCGATGTTGTTGTCATTTATCTTTTATATCTCCCTGTTGTCCTGCCCAGGGCCCAATACTTATGAGGATGCTGGCAACTACATCAAAATCCAGTTCCTGGACCTGAACTTGCGCCGAGATATAAAAGAAATCTACTCGCACATGACCTGCGCCACAGACACAGAAAACGTCAAGTTTGTGTTTGACGCCGTAACCGACATCATCATCAAAGAAAACCTGAAAGACTGCGGCCTCTTCTAAGAGCCAAGCAGGGAAACTAAATGAAGGTGAGCAAAGTCAAAAATCATGCAAGTCTAACCGAGAGTGATTGTTCTCCTATCTAACACTTGTGTTTCTATGTTATTTGACAGGGTAGCATCTTAGCCCTGTCACATTCCTCAGATTCCTCCTCAATTCAAACAGGGAGACAGCCCTATCAAAAAGCCATCATCAAACCAGTGAATGCAAAAAACAGAAATAACATTTAATTTGCTGTGCTTAAAAACTAAACTTGTAGCTTTGACCAAAGACTCCTTGTCACTGAGACATGAAAATAATCCTGTGCAGATTTTAAGATGAGTTGAATTTTTTTGTCAAACTTTTCTCATTTGCCCATCTTTGGAGATGCATGCAATCTGTAGCTTTTGTCTGCATAAACTGATTTCTTTTCAGATGTACTCATGAATAGACGCAGTGTCTCTAAGCTCAAGTAATCAGACAGCATATAATTAAAGGGCTAACAAGATGGCCTCACCACCTGCATATGCACTTCAGCATCAGTTAGACTTTAAGATGAACTGTCATTAGAAAAGGCTTTTTCTAAAGACACAAAACAGCACAATTTGTGACACCAGAAGATTATAAATTGAACTTCTGAGAGAAGCACTAGATTTTTTTTTGTCTTGTTTTATTGCAGTAGTTGAAAAAGGGCCATTGTACATAACTAATCAAATTTCTAATGGTGTGTTGTAATACTGTTAATCAATAAACTGTTAAGCTAGAGATTAATTTAACCCCAATTTGAATCTTCCTGTCAAAAAGCCTTTGAGTCAACGTATCTGTACTGAAATTCAGAGAAATATAAAAATGTACACGTTTGATTAAATTTATTAAAGCTTCTGTAGAAAACTCAGCAGTGTGTCATTTTTTCCAGAATTAATGTCTTGTTTTTAATCTCAGGTTAATGGAAATCCCTTTTATGACTGACTGATTTAGACTCAAAAATTAGCTATTACATTTTTTTTAAATAATTTTTGTCTTGGATTGACAAATGAGAGAAAAACTGCAAGTGCTAAAATGGAATAGTTTAGAACAGTACATATTTATGTACTAGTGTGGCCAAGTCAAATTTCAGACCTAAATTGAATTTAAAATTGGCACGATTTCATGTTTTCCGATGATTCTTTGTTCGTTTGCAAAGCGCGGATACAAATTTTAGTCTCCAGATGTGGAAAAAAAGTGAATGTTTTCAGCATAAAAGGGCTAATGTCTCAGCAAAAATATATCTGTGCATTTATTTTTAGTCAGATTGATTACTGCAACAGTGTCTACAAGTCAGACAGCTGCAGCTGATCCAGAACGCTGCTGCTTGAGTTCTTACTAAAACCAGGGAAACAGAGCACATCACCCCATTTCTGTAGCTAGAGAACTGACTTTATAAATCCATGAATGGCTTAGGACCAAAATATGGTATATTATTGCATCAACTTTCTGGACCACTCAGGTCTTCCTGTTCAAATCTACTCTGCATCCCACAATTAGAGCCAAACAAAGAAAATTAATCAGGAAAACTGCAAAAACTGCTGAAACACAGAGTTCATTTTAATCAAGGCTAAAAACTCATTTGCTTAGGGTTGCATTTGATTCATAATAACTTTAGACCGTTTAATTTTATGAGTTTGGAAGCACTTTGTGTTGCCTTGTTGTTGAAATGTGCTGTACAAGTAAATTTGCCTTTCCTTGAGGCATAACCAAAACATAAAGGTGTAACTGAAAAAAGGTGCTTCTAAAAAAATTACAACTGCATGCTTTATTTTTCTGATTTCTATTTGAAAGACATTTTTAAAACAAAACAGTTCCTTTAATTTTAGAATTATGCGCTACCTTGAGTTGGCCTCTAAAATATATTAAATCTTGTGGTTATGATATAAAATGTGAAGAAAAAGGCGTATGAACAATTTTGCAAGCCACTGCATCTGCATTTGCCTCCCTCACAAAATTCACCAGAATGGGAGGTGCATCTGTTTTCCAATACGTCAATGACCTTTGACCACTTCTGAGAACTACATGTGACTGCATCACATCCTGAAGGGAGGCGTTAGTAACGCAGATAACTATGGAGGATTTCTACTTTATTCTGAGAAAAAACGAAGTTAGGTGTAACCACAGCTACATCTGAATATGTGAGACGTGACCTGGGTATTTGTCACAAACGCAGACAAAATCAAAGGAAAGCGGACCTAAACAAAGACCGCAGCAGAATTATACAGTAGCAGAAAGATAATTTCAATGTATCAAATATTTGTAAATTATATTGAGTAATATTGCATAGAAATGTACCTCAGCATTGTGAACAATATTTAATGTTGGAAACAATAATAAAATGGAAAATAGTAGGCAACGTTGCAATTTTATTTCTTACAAAAGCATTCACTGATTCTTGCATTTCTAAGAAACCCTGAGTTTTTAACCACATGACAGGTATGAAGTGCACCAAAAGAAACAGCTCCAGTCTCTTCTGTACAAGTACAAATCATAAACAATGCAGTAGAATTGTCACCAATACAAACTTAGCATTTAAAATAAAAACATTTTATGGCTTGTGATGGTTAAAAGAACCGCAGATAGACATGGAATGAAACATTTGTGCAATATCAAAAGTGGCAATAAAATATGTTCAAAAATGTTATCCACGGCTAATATGCACCACATGGCATCCAGAAATACTAAGACAAATAGAAGGCACTTAAAGAGTCAGCCCTGAACCTCATTCTGATGGGGGCACAAAGCCCTAAGACATAGAGTCAATAAAAGTTTGAAAGATAAACACTTGATTATCTCAATATTGTATTTTCTCAGTATTGTCAAACATGAGTCAAAGGCAAAAAAATGCAGTTTACTCCCCAGACTTTCTGTCTCTGCCCAGATATGCATTAGCATTTTGGTAGAGATGCACCAAGAACCTGATTGACAAGCAAAATAAGAAGATTTTGGAGAACTGACTGCTGACCAGATCCGTTTCTGAGCTCGCCCGGTGTGTGCATGCTATTACTGATGGAAGAAGTTTAACTATTATCAGCAGGTGATCAAAATTGAAGTGAAAGGAACTATATAAGATGTAAAGAGCCATTTCAAATCAAAGTATTTTGCATGACTTATTAAGACGTGACTGTTGTTCATTCAGGCTGCAGGGGACAGCAGAAAACTTCACCAGAGTACAGCAAAGTTGCTCTTTTTGTCCCCTTCAGCTTTCAAAGGTGTAATGAAACAAGCTACATTTAGTAATGTGTGCAGCCTTTCTGGAAATCTAACAATTAAGATAAGAAACTATGTTCTCTAGGAGAACAGAGATTACCCTCTCATTACAACACAGTCATTTTGCCTTTGCTCTGAAAATAAATAATTTGTGATTTCACGTAGCACAAAGTTAGAAAAAAAGATCATTGTTCCTATATAGTTTTAAATCTTAAAGAGAAATTAGAATTGGCTAAAAATCTATATTAGTCTGCCGTGAGACTCTGATTGGTGCATCTCTAGTTTTAAAAACCAGAGTTTTGCAGTAATGCTGTTTGATTAAAAAACATCTGGAGTGAAAAGCAGCTCTTTTAAGAGTTTTATCTCACAGCCCTTACATAATAGCACTGACCTAGTCAGGTTTATCAACTTAAAAAAGAGGCACTGATTCTCAGGTTTAGAGAGTGGCTTGCTCAAAGGTCAACATTTGTTTATAGGCTATGCACTGAATTAATGTGAGGTTAATGACACTGATCTTATTATCAGATGCTTTTTTCTCAAGACTCTCAGCTCTGGTGTAGTTTCAATCACACACATATGTGCAAAGTTTACCCACAAGTGCTTGACCAGATACCTCAGTTTGTCTAAAACCCTCTTAGTTCAGACAAAAAGTAACAATCAGAACTAATTCTCCTGACCTTGGACGAGTCACCTTTGTTGGCATCATTCTCTAAAACCAAAAACCCTTCACTTTAATACAGTCTCGTCTTCTCAGGATGCATTACTGTCCATTTCCTGTCTAGATCCAGATCTGAGAAATAGATGGTACAAAGACTCTGAACTGAGGAAGTCCTCCTCTCCAGTCCTTTCAAACAAGTGTAACCACATCTGTCCTTTTTCGTCAAAACACTCCCACCATATGATCAATCTGCCTCATGTAGACACTCTTTAATGGCAGAGCATATCGACGCTCCTCTGGAATCCTGTTACACTGCAGAGATACGGAAGAAAGAGAATAAATACAGAGTTCCTTCACAATGTTTAAAAAGAAAAAAAAATCACTTTAATTTATAGAGAATGGATGAATGGACTGATGGATGGATGGATGAAGGAAAAGAAATGAGAACTAACAGATATTCTACATACTTCATTTTCTTTTTCCATACTGATTCACGCCTGAAAAACACTCCGGCCAAGTTTTATGTTTTTCCAGACTGAGAGTGAACCCTGAGGCGAGCTGGCTTTCTGGTCAAACTCACTGACCACATTAAATGAACCGGGATGATGATCTTACGTTGCTGATGTTGCTCAGAGGCGGCTGGTTGCTTGTTCCCGTTTCTGCCAGCGCTCCCTCTTCACATGGAGACAAGTCGTTCCACTGCTTCTCCCTGAAGCGCTTGTCTATAGGCACAACATGACCTTCTGTAGTGAAGATATATTTGTTATCGGATTTGTGCAGTGGGTTGTCCTCGTCAAATAGCTGCAATGCAGAGGAAAAGACAATAAAATTCCCCAACAAATCAATTCATATATTCAAAATGGTGTATGGGGGGCATACAGTATTCAGATATCCTCTTAGCATGTGGAAGGTAATCAGAAATAGAGTATTAAACATATACATATATATTTATATTTATTTTTTACACTCATTCTGGTATAGTAGGATACGTAGACCTTCATGCGTGTTAACACATGAAGTTTGCTTTTCATCAAACTTTAAAATGTGATTCAAAGATTGCAAGTCTTGCATTTTAGCACAAGAGGTCACCAAATCCTACACTTTTGTCTTTAAAGTGCACTTATGCCTCAGGAAACAATAAAGTTAAATAAATGTTTGTTCCTCCACATCTGAGAGTAAAGCCTCAGATTGAAAACTTACAAGATAAAGGTATTTGCAGGTTTCACTGAGAAAAAAGCTCTCCATCCGATCCTCTTTGGATTTATCCACAACATGGTGGAGTGTGGCATATCCGCATCTAAAGTAGCAGTAACACACAGCAGTAAAGTAGGCAAATGC